GGGGGTGGACGGAGAAAGAAGGGATAACATAATTGTACCAAATTGCATGGTTTTCGTAGCTGTGCTGTCTGCCTTAGAAAAGAAAACCCAACACCCCTAGGAGCAGGAGAGTCCACAGCAAAGTCACTTTTCTAGCTGGCAGCGCCCTCCCCGGCTCCCAACACGTGACTGGTCAGCACTGGGCCCAGCTGTCCAGGTTCAGTGTAGCACACAGATCTAGTTTTTTCCCCTTGTTTTTTGTACCATTTGACTACAAAATGTGAAGTCTAAATTCAGGGAAAGGCTCTTTCTGCACTGTGAACAATATGATTTACCACATTTCACCACAGTGGACAGGCTTAAAACCTAATTTTAGCTATATCACAAACAAGCCTTAATGTAAATAAAGAGCTGAGATCGTACCAAGCTCCATTTCTCCCCAGAAATTACAAGATCCTGACTAAAACTGGATCCTTTTACTATTTTTATAATTTTCATATCTTTTGAATTCCTTTCTCTGTAGGACTCCTGCTTTGCTTGGAAAGAGATGTAAAAGAGTCACAAAACTCAGCGCCTTTAGATGCAGTCTTTGTTATTGATGAGATGTTCCTTTTCCTCTTGTATTTGTTTATTGTTCTTAAATCTGTTTGGGGGATAAGCGACTTATTGTAATCACAAGTAAAAAATAACAACGGGGTAAATGCCTCAGGAGAGGGCTCCTTGCAAATAGTTGGCTAAGAAACGACCTTTCTGAATATAAAGAAAGGAGGCAGCAAGAGGTTCTCTTTTTAAGATTACCTTTGATGTGTCCTGACCCCTTCAGCGTGCCCACACAAACACGCCTCTTAAAACAACGTCTTGGCTCGGCCGTGCAGCGGACGCGGGGCGCGCTGGCGGGATGGGATCTAAGCGGGTGCAGCATATGGGCCCATCAGAATGAAGTGCCTGGTGAGAGCCATAAAAGCTTTTTGCTGCCCCCAGAAAAGAAGTCGTTTAAGAGTGTACACTACGGCTTTCAAAGCTTCTGATCAAAACTGCTATTTATTGGTTTCTCTGATTCTTACGGGGCTCAGGCAGAGCCAGCCAACGAGCTAAAAGAATTCAGGAAAATGCCCTATGACGCGCAAAGAGTTTGGTTTTTTACACTAGGCATTAAAATATTCCTAAAGTGTTCCGTGAAACCTCCCCGGAGAGTTGTGCTTTTAAGCTGTTGTTGTTGTTACTGTTTTCAAGCAGATAAACCACAAACTTGAGGTTCTGGGGGTGGGAGTCCAAGATTTTAAAGGTTACTTGATAGGACGGAGAAGTACAATCCTAGAAGAACCCAGAAGGTTCTCACCCTGCAAGGTCACAAGAAACATCTGTGGGGCCTGAACTGGATTCGTTCTGGGTTCTTCGGTAGATGGAACCTCACTGTGGTTTTAGGGAGGTGCTCATAAACCACAAATTATCAAGCTCCGCATGGAGGAACTTAACGCTGAGAACAGGTGCTCTCTGGGGGGTGGCCTGGTCAGCTCAACCCGTGTAGGAAGGACAGTGATGGGAGGGAACATTCATGGGAGGTGTTCTCTAATGACCCCAGCCAGAGGCTCTAAGCGAATGAATTTTATGGTGTCTGTAATGTAAAACCATGTCTAACAAAATTTCTCCCAAAAAGTTCAACAAGAAAGAAAGAGAAGGGAATCACACCAGACATAAAGGGTCAGGAAGAAAACTACAAGAGATGGACGCTTAAAAGGAACACAATGGAATTGTTTTTACAATGAACATACGGCTCTCAGCATGGAACCTAACGAAGGGGGAAAAGGTGGGGGCAGAGAGCCATGGTAGTTGGGGGAGAAGCCATGCGTGGTCATGGTTTGGGGGGGGGGGTATATGCTTTTTGGTCAGGTTGGTTAACAGAAACATCCTGCAGATGGGCAAGCCCACCCGTGCCAGGCGCACACACAGCACACGCACACGCACACCACCGCGTAAAGCAGCCCTTGCTTCGGCTACACTGCGCTAGATGGTCACACAAAATGCCTTGCCGCTGGTGTCTGCGCCTCCTTAGGGAGTTTAAATCCGTGCGCCTCTCTGTACTGCCCTGAGATTTACCAGCGACTTCACCAAGTCACACACCCCGAGTGCTCGCACCTGCAGGCCTTGGAGGCCTATGGGCTCCCTGCAGGATGAATGCTTCCAAGCTGCTTTGCATACTGTCTCAGTTGTGATTTCACCTTAAAGTAGCCCACCTCTGGTTTCCACTCCTATGCCATTCTTCCAAAACGATCAGGACATGTGCAGTGATGAACTGCTCGTGTTTTCATACGGCAACCGTGGGCCATCTCAGTCAAGGGTAAATGGTGCACTTTGCTGGGAATTATGTTACATCAGTTCCCAAAACATCCTGAAGCACTGGCCATATACCGTATATCAACCCTCACTAAGTAAGGGAGCAGATGCATTTCTTCAGATATAAGGTTCTCCTCTTCCAAGTTTTCACCTTCTGGTCCCAAGGGTCTCCAACATTAAACTGCCTTTTCATTTCCACGGTGTGGCAGTGAGAGCTAACACTCCAACATGCCCCTAAAAATCTGCTTTCCTAACTCTGAGCTGGAGAGCAAGTGTCAGTGTTCTTAAAGTGTCAGAAATGACTAGCTGCAAAAAAAAAAAAAAAAAAAAGACATCTTTAAAAACACTGGAGTTTCAGAAAACTAGAAAAAAAAAGCCTCACTAAATATACATTAGAACACTGAGGTACATTTGGAGTCTTAATTCAACGGTTTTTGTTTTGTTTTTTGTTTTCCCCATTCCTGAGTTCTTTGTGGGATCACTATGAACACTGGAGGAAAACCACAGCAAGGGGTCAATGCCGTGCAAAATACAGCAGCATCGGGCCCAGCCAAACCAAACCGACCCTGCAAGAATCTGCAAGAAAAAATCTGCAAGAAACAATACCCCAAACAGAGAGAATCAGAGCCTGTGGCTGCCCTTCTCTGGGAGAGCTCCCCCTCCACCAGCCCCCCCCCACAACACACACCCCGGGCCAAGAAGGTGAACCGAACAGGCAGCTGTCCCCGAGTTGGTACAGCTGCAACCACCGGAGCAGCCCCTCAGCATAATGCTGTGACAACTCCATCCGCACAGTCTCGAGGTAGCTGTCAATCAGGACGCATCATTTAATCCAACAGCACTCGGAGGACTTTCTCAGACAACCCACATGACAGCATATCTACAGCTCTATTTATATCAGCGCCCGGTTGTGTTTACAATCCTGTGGCAATTAGAAAAGATGCAACAGGCAGCAATATTATGGAGATTTCCAGTTCGCAGTATTGCCCCGTAAAGTGTGATCTTGCTTCGCAGAGTCAGGCTAAATGACAAAAGGCTATTTTCTTCACTCTCCGTGCTCAGACAGCACTTCATTTGCAGCTAGCTATAATTAGATTAATGGTGTAGTGCAGTACAAAGCCGGCCCACTTCACATCAGATAGCATATGAATTAGGACAAACACTTATTTCAATTCCAGGCAGAGAAAGC